TGGGAAGCTGAGAAGTCCTTCACCAGTGTAAGCACTGCTTAGCAACAACTAAAACATCAGTGTGTTATCAACGTTATTCTCATCCTAAATCCAGAACACAGCACTGTACCAGCTACTAGGAAGAAAATTAACTCTATCCCAGCTGAAACCAGGACAACACCTATATAAGCTATAGTGGAATCAAGAGTAAAATCCTTGGATTGATGTTTATTGGGAAATCTTTGAAGTGTAAATCACCTGTACTTGTTTCTTTAGCCTTGACACTACATTCGGAATTCCTGCAATTAACTGCAAGTATTTGCACAAAAAGCTGCCACCATAATACAAGCTTTTGTAAAATCATAGTCAGTGTTTAACCTTGAAGTATGCCACTTTTGAAAATATATAGGTGCTATTACTAGGTGGAAAAGCCAGCTTTCTTGAAATATCAGGTTTAATAACCATTCCTTGTAATAGAATTTCTTTGCTCATTGCAAGGGAGAAGAGTCGGACTGACTGCAGTGAGGGCCAAAAGTAGTTTTCTCAGCTGGCACAAATTAAATTAACACTCCTGAGTTTGGTTTGGAAATGAGTCAATTTGTACGAGAGGTGTCCTTCTTGTTTTTCTTTTTTTTTTTCTTTTTTTTCCCCCATCCTGTAAATAGGTAGGACTTGCTGCCTTTGCAACATAAACACAACCCTCCTGAAGCTCCTGGGTTAAAAACTACGAACGGATACCTTGTGGTTAAGACTTGGACTGAGATCTCCTATTCCTTTTTGCTTTGCCTAATGTCCTTTTGTACAGGACGTTAGCAGCCTAGCTTGGAAGAGCACCATGACCAAAGTGTTGAATAAATCTTGAGGGTGCTGGTTTGAGGAACTCAAAAATCAGAAGTCAAATACCCAAGAATCACAATTGTAAAAACAATGAGACTTATCAATGAATGCTGGTCTTTTTTTGTCTTCCTTCTGAACTGTGAGAATTAGCACATGGCTGTATCAGACTTTCAAGCTTACTGTTACACCCTGAGAATTTCAGACCTTAATTTTTATTTTATTTTTAAGGAGAGCAGAGGCTCTCATGTAATGGCTCGTCTCCAGGAACTGTGGCTTGGAGAGGCACCCTGCTGATCACAAGACTCCCAATAAGCTCACCAGTGATTTAAAAATTAATCCATGGAGCAATCCAGTTCCTGGAAAATTATCATTAATTAATTAGGCAGCAGGTGGTGAGTTCCAAGGGTTTTATTAGTATTAATTCAAACTGAAAATTGGAACTAAAAATGAAGGGCCAAAATAGCTACAAATCCAGAAGAGGGGTTTTCATTAATCCTTTCAGTTCAGTGCCACAGAAGATTAATGAGTTCTGCTCAAGCTGAGATAGGCATCCCATACAGAACCTTCCAAAATGTGTATTTCAGAGCTAGGCTGGGGAGAAACAGCTAACAGAAAAAAGGGGAAAATCTCAACTCAAACTCAAAGTAAAATTGAAAATGAGACCAATGCTGCTTCAAATGTGCACCTGTATTTTCATATGCATATCCAGTAATTATCATTAGAATCATAGAAAGAAGATTCTTCTCCCCATGATTCAGCATCATTGTGGGTTATGTATGTGTGGAGGAAACACTTGGGAAGTTTACCCCAAAGTTCACCCATAGCCTCATCCCTTTTGTCTGATTTCTTGACCTCAGACTGTTTTATCATGCCTTTTTCAAAAGGTGCAATTTATCTGCAAATAAGGGTTACCTGAGGAATTATTTCAAGAACTAGTATTTCAAAGAAGTGGAAGTTGACTGAAATATGTGTATGAAAATACCGCATTTTCTTTCTTTACTTTAGATGTGTCTGGAACAGCTCACTGTAATTTGTAAAGCAAACTGTTCTTTGTCCACAGTTCACCGGCTTTGTCAGATCTAGGATACAGTAGGCAACTTCGGCAAAACCCACCTGTTCAAGACTCAGATTCAATGCAGTACCAACAGCTGAAACTTCATTTATGCTAGAAATTCAAAAATTGGTGGTCTAAACCCAACACAGCAGTACAATGGCACGCAGAGAATCTCAGCTAGACATATGGAAAGCCATGACTTCCCT